ATAATGCACGCCATTCTTTTGTACGTCTAGCGATGAAACAAGGGCCGTTATCTGTTTTAATCTCTTGTGGCTTCCCTAATACGGCAATGACACCCTCCCAATGAGCAATAATGTGTCTGGCTGTTTGTTTGCAAGCCATCGTGGCTAATATTGTAGAACTCAAGGTGTGAATGGTTACTATGAGGTATTTATTTAGTTATAGTAGGTCAAATTCTGTTATGTCAGTTTGCCATATTTGGTTGGGGGAGAGACCCCTTGGGTTGACACCTGCTTCCCACAGTGGGTCTTTTTGACAGTAGGGACAAAGTGCCACTATGTTTTTTGCTTGTGACAGAGAAATATGACATGTTTTTGCTAAGGCTTTTGCTCCGAGGTGTAGAAAGGCCTGTAAATGCTTTGCAGCATCTAGTGACCATACACCCCGTGCCGCCTGGTCAGCCTTATGATTGCCTTCTATAATTGGACCAGGTAAGGATTGGTGACTCTTTACATGTGTAAGAAAGGCCTGTCCTACGCGTTGTTGTAGAGCGTCATAAAGCAAAGTCGACACTTCTGTCTGCACAAATCCTACGGTTACCATTTTGTGTACAAGTTTATAAACATATAAAGAGATTGTAACAATATTAATTGGATTCTCTGTTTCCTGCTGGAGTGCCATCTGGACCGTTTTGGCTTCCAACCATTGTACTGATTTATTAGTCTGAGTCCACAACCTCTTTTCCCAACTTCCTTCAGCTTTCCATATGAGTGCAGCTGTTTGTGATGAGGCATCTGTAAAGTATGTTGTGCCAATAAGAGGGTGCATGACTAGAGGTAGTGTAAGTTGTAGCTGAAATGTCTTCAGGTGTGTAACCCATTGTAGACCCTTTCCAGTTGTCATGGAGCCTGGAAAGTCAAAGATGGCACATTGTAAGTCTTCCGAACACGTAACCATGTCGTCCCACACTTGCAGCTTCCAGGGGATGAGTATTGTGTCAGGTTCCTTCCCAAAGTGTTGAAGGGTCATGTTGCATAGGCGTCCTATGAGGTCCGCTACAGCAGCGACTGTGGTAACAAAGGCAGCCTTGTTAGTATTTTGACAAGCCCAGGCTAAAGGCACGGGTTTGCCATCCCAGCCAGACTGTCTGATTATACCAACCATGTGTCATATAGGCTTTTAGGCTTTTTGTCCACCAAACTATATACATCCCCAGGCCTGACCACACATGCTATTCCCAGCTACTGGGGGAAGAGAGCCTCTCAGCTCTAACGCCAATCAAACAGGTCTGAGATGGGTCGGCAGCAGTTGCTAAGCCCAGGCAAGATGCCTGCTGTCCTGATTGATTTTTCCCTGCCACCTTGGCACAACTCAGCAGTTTCTTATCTATCTTCTGAGGCCTATTCTTCATCAAAGTTTATCTGTTTGTCAGAGGCTGTGTAAGGCCGATGCCTCCCAGATCTCCCCTTTCTTGTTTTTTTTTGCAACGGCACCTGCAAGACTTGTTTGAGAGCTGTATCAGTTAAAGTTAGACAAACTTCAAAAACGCAGCATACTTACAATAGTTCCACAGAAGGCTAAAACAGTACAGCAGTTACAATTACTGATTAAAAGTGTAGGCTAATTTCAGTACTGATAAATAAGAAATATGACTAAATACTACAAAATAAACAGTAAGGAAAACAGGGAGTAGCACAGTTACTTAATGGGGTACTAACATTCAGATCCTCAATCGCTGGGGAACCCTGGATGCAGCGAGGATTCAGAGTGCCCTTCCTCGCAAACGGGAAACCCTCCGCGATGCGTCCATCCGTAGGTGAGACATCCAATGTTGCTGCAAGCAGGTCCAGCCTTTAAACCAAATGGCCAAAATAACTGGCACTTTTTCTTGAGCAGGAACATCCGATCTCATTCTCCTGTTGGGTTTCACCTGCAGCCTGGCCAGCACTCCAGGGGGAAAAACAAGGGAGTTTCTAATAAGGTTAAACACTTGAGCTCTTAATTCTTAATATTGCTAAACAAAGAAAGTTGAATACACACATTCTTACAGCATTTCATCCTTATTAATAACTGCATTTCATCTAAACTACATCTTTCACTAGTGACTAGTAAGCTTATATATTTCATTAAGAAGTTACAATTACTGTTAGCATTTTCTCTTAAATGAATTGGCAACTGCAGTGTAGTTTGTTCTGTTGCAGTAGCAAACATTACTCAGACATTCTGCTTAAATGATCAGTCTAAGAGATCGCAAACTGTCGGCACAGGGGCATCCACAGCACCCACAGCTGGATCCTGAGTGCTGGCTGCCTCTCACGCCTCAGGTGTGGTTGCACACACCTTGCCGGTGACCATTGGAGATGAGACCTGTGGAGACACAAGCATAACCTCTTCCCCAGGTTATTAAAAGATATGGTCCTTCTCAGTTACTACTTTCTAAGTTTATTGTTAACACTTGAGCCTTGCTCTGGACTTCTTGTTCATCTGGTATCTTGCATCTTGCCCCTTTGTTGTTCTTGTTGCTGTAATAGACGCTTTAGCTTGCTAGATGTATGCTTCACAGTGGCCTGACCAGCCGGTGAATGGGGAATGCAGGTCAGATGCTTGACTCCCCACTGTATGGCACGATGCAAACAGTGCTCCAGGAAAGGTACTAACAGACACATGTACATATTTTAATATTTGAAATGCAGCTGAGTGAGTGACATCAGATTGGCATAATTCTGAGGAGGTGAGTCCCCAAGTGTCAACCCCACTTCACTGTTGAAGGGGGAATGCAGTGTACCTGTGATGCTTGTCTGTTTGAGATGGCGTTAGCTATGCGGTGGAGATCTTGTTCCGCTTTCTCTGTAAGTACTCTGGGTGATGTCAGTGAAGGATCTCTTCATAAAATATCAAACAAGCTATGCAGATCATCATCAGTTAGGCCCACACGGCTGTATCCAGTTTATGATTCTTAACAGTCTCTGTAGATCTTTTAAAGTCTTAACATCAGTTTTAAGTTTAACCTGTTGCAGGACAATAGTCTGTTCACAAATTCTTCATCTCAGGTACTGCCTGGTGATGTTATCTGTATCTTTTGAAGTGCTATTTGCAACACCATTTGAGATAGTGAGTGCTTGGTTAAAGCAAGAGCCTTTTCCATGATCTCCTGTGTTTCTGCTGCAATAAGGATGTCATCCATATAATGATATATAACAGCATGGGGGACCTGGTGGGACTTTTATGTCTTGTGCTAAAATAATGCAGTGGTATTGTTTTGCAGGTTCGCTAACATCAATAGTGGGAATAGAAGAGGTAATTGTAGGTGCATCGTTCGGATGCAAGGGAATGACAAAAGAAATCAATCCTTTAGATCAATTACTACAAGATGCCAGTTTCAGGTAATCATTGTTAGGGAGGGCATTCATGGTTGTAAAGTATTTTTATCCTGCATGGTATCATTAATATGTCAGAGATCATCTAAAAGTCACTATTTACCACTTTTCTTTAAAATAAGAAACTTAAATATCCCTGAATTAAGTCATTGAGGTGGCACAACTTTTCCCTTGGCAAGGGCACTGACCCACCCACACCGGTGATTCCATTTCCCAGGTTAGTTTCAGGGTGGGTTTCAGGGTGGGTTGTGCTGCAGTGGTGATTAAGACAAATTTGATCCAATTTGAGTTCCCCATTGACCTACACAGTCACAACCCCAAAATGTAATAGGGGTTTCCAGTATAAATGGGTGAATCTTTGCTACGCAGTTTTCTGGTCCCCTTACATGAATGAGATCCTTGCTTTGAATTGCTACAGCATGACACCATACCCTGAAAAACATTTCAGTTACCGGAGCTAGCAGCCAATCTGCTCACAGATATTATGGTCACACCCACACCAGTATCTAAAACTCCTGTTAGCCTAACAGATTTTTTAGCTTTAACAAGAGTACATGTTGCCAGAAGTCAACCTTGTGTCACTGTCTGAGTCCAAAAATATTTAAGGGGTACCTGCTGATCCAAATCCTGAGTCATTATGGCTTCTCGGCATACTAGTGAGGGGAGCCACAGTAAAATTAACAAGCTGAAAAATTTTTGACCCTTTTGTTACAGAGCACAGGGATACAGACCATAATTTTGATTTTTCTCTTCATAATCAGCATCTATGACCCCTGGTAAAACAAACAACTCCTGTAAGGTTGCAGATGATTATTTTTTACCAATATTTCCATTAGGCAGATGGTTCAGAGGTGCACTCTCCTCACAGAGTATGCACCTAAATTCAAGACAACAATCAGCACAGAATTACTGCCTCCCGTTAGAGGAGGTATTTTACCTGTAACAGAACACTGAGCCCAAACCAACCGCAGCACTGATGACCCAGCAGGCGGGCACTAGGACCCTGTAGTTCCTCACCGGCCGCTCCCCTGGCCGGAGAACTCCGCAGCTGCAGTGGGCCGCGTCTCACACACACACACACAATCACACAACTACACAAAGGAGCTCCTGACACTTATTACTCACAGCATAAAGTGACAAATATGACAAATATGAAGACTCCATCAAGAACATATAAAGCCAGTGCTGCATGGCAGCGTCAGCGCCTTCTCCGGGAAAAACCTGCCATCCTGCCTGGGGGGGCGTGCCGAGCGCGGTGCCGGGCTCATCCACAGGCGGCCGCTCCGCGGCGCGGTGGGGCTCTGGGGGGGCCCCGAGCTGCCGTTGCCATCTCCATACTGCGCGCCCCGACCACTGCTGGACCCCGCAGGCTCCTCCGTCTCAGTAGAATCCTCTGAGAAACGTTGCGGTCCCCTATGTGCATCCTTAGATGCATGCTGTTTGGCTTGGGTGGCTTTCATCAATGCATTTGACTTATCCCAAGTCACCAAGTGCTCCGGATTTCCCAATTTTGCCTGCTCTGTTAAATCAGCTTTCATTAGAGGCCAGAGCTCTGACTTCATGCAATCCATCGGCTTGGCCAAAACGCCGAGCTCTAATACAATTTGTAGCATAGCTCTTAAAGCGCTCGACTTCATGGAAGTCCTATATTGCATTCCCCATGTTTTAAGTACCTTGATTGTGGCCTCCATGGCACGCCGTGGAGTCTCCCGTCCTGCGTGGAGCTCCATCACCTCCTGCCGTGCACCACTGACCGCCACCGGTCCGCACACCGAAATCACCACTGCCCTCACGTCGGGGTCACCATTTCTTGTGGTAAGGCATTAGCTGTCTTTTTCTACCTGCCAATCCACAGACATGTGGCGCTCAGATCACAGCTAACCCTTGCAGGAGGTTAAAACCTTCGCGGGAACAAAAGCACAGACACCAACATGTGGGCTGCTACTTGTTCAACTTATTAGCTGCTCAATTGCTTTATATATGTTCCTTAAAGGCATCCACCTTAAGCATGGCTGTGTTTTGGTAACATTCTTCTTTGGAGTGTTTGGTCGGTTCCTTATTCATCACGAGGTCTTCCGAGCGCCTCTCCCTACAGACCAATGAGCTACAGAGCATCTTGAACAAACAGTGCAGTAGCATTCTGGTACCCACTGAGGCATTTGCAAGCCAAACCCCCTGAATTTATGTGGCTCTGCATGAGAACTTTGGGCATATTACTGCAGGAATTGCTGCAGAGATTTCAGACAACTGCCTAGTAATTCTGGATGCCCCTGCGTTGTGCTTATAAGCATGGCCTTGTTTGGGAGGTTGATTTAAATATGTCTGCTTAGTGCTGTCTTGTCACTGCGTCCTCTGTTTCTGGTTGGATGGCAGACTCTCCTCGTGTTGTAATGATGCCCTAAAATGAGAGGATAGGTGCTGCTAGCATTGAAGATCAAATGAATACCTACATGTGGGCATAAGGAAAGAATGGCACTGCTGTTCCAGCACTGACAATGAACCAGGCCAATTGGCTTTCTGATCCTTCAGCTGGAAACATTGCAGAAACAACGGGGAGAGTGGTGAATGTTTGGGAATGAGGAATGTGTGCTGTAACAGTGGAGGGGCCTTCAAAAACGCATAACTCACCTCGTAGTATGTTCTTCGAGGTAAATGGATGAAGAAATTACTGTGTGGTAATCTAAAGGGTTTCCTTGGACTTCCCCACCCTCAGGAGCAGCTGTGTTCACAGGGCTGGTGGTGGTCTAGTGGTGGCGGGAAGCGTGAGCCTTTCTACTTGCACATAAATCCCACAGCTGCCTTTGAATTGCCCCTGCTCATGGGACACTTTGAAGTATGAATTGTTTCTTAACTGTATCAGTGGCTGCATGTCTGATTCATGACATGATGAGTAGCATGCCGATACCAATCAGTGAGCATGTGGAATCTCAGCAAGTTTTCAACTGTAATAAATATTTCCTAAAATATTGCAGCATTTTCAAGATTATCTTAAAGCAAATTCTGGCAATTAACACCTTTTTCTTTTGTTTCTTTAGTTTTTTTGGTTTGGGTTTTTTTTTGGTTTTTTGTTTTTTTTAATTTTCTGTCACAGGGCTCCTAAATCACACAAAATCTTAGAAACTGCTTTCAGGTGACATTTCTACTACTATTTTTATTCAGTATAGCCTATGTAACACATAGAGTATTTTGGTACTTTCATGGCTAAGTATGGTAGATATCTGAACACAGTGCTTGGGCTTCCACAAAGGAAGCTATTCCAAGGACTATGCTGCTGACTGTTTTGTTGTTTCTTTGTCAGATGACTGTTTTCACTTAAGTAAACTTGCACTTCAGACTGTCTAGACTCTCACTGTTTTTTCTAATAAGCTAAAGTACTGGTACCTGGTATTTGGTACCTATTTGTATTACTAGGGATATACAGATTGGCTAAAGTTGCCTTCCTATTTTGATGGTTAATTATTTAAGAACACAAAACGGCAGTACAGGTCCAGCTGATACCAGGTTTTGACTCCTGTAACAATCCTGTCATGACTGGTGTGATTCCTATTTTATATCTGACTAAACTCTATTGATTGTCACATTCTGCCATTTCACCCCAAATCAATACTACTTAGAACTCTTTTATTTTTCCTCATCCATAACCCTGCAGAGAATGTTTATTACATTCTGACTATCTCAAAAGTGAATCTAGCAGAAAATTTGCAAATGAACAAACCCTTTAGCTGTCAATATATCTCATTCCTCCCTGATGTATTTAACTCTGCTGATATCAAATCTCACATTGTGTCCTTCATCTAATGATCTTTGTTCATCTTGCTTTTTGCTATAATTCCATAGTATAGGAAAAAAAAAAAAAAAAAAAAGGAAGTAGGAGCAGGGTGGGAAGGCTCGTAAGAGGAGAAATGTGGATGGAGCTGATGACAAGTTATTCTGGAGCTTTAAGGCACTGTACAGAGTTCACTGTCAAACCTGTAATATGGAGATAATAGCTGTAAGAAGATATTTTTACCCATATTTCAGATTCCTGGAGTTATAATAAAACTCTGTGTGTGTGTGTGTGTGTGTGTGTGTGTAGGAATTCTAAAAGGAGAGGGAGACAAACTGTTTATTCAGCTTTGAGATTTGTTCAGTGGCTGTAGAATTTTTCCTTGTAGCCAGAGGTCTCCTGGGTGTGTGTCTGCTTTACTGTCCCAGGGCAGCGGGGTGAACTCTGTCCTTCTGCAGTGTCTCTGCAGGGCCCCATGGGGAGGCTCAGGGCTGCCACACACAGCTCTGTGGGCTTGGCCGGGGCCGTGGGCTGTCGCCTCATCTGGCCTCAGGCAGGGTCAGATCTGCTCGTGTTCTTCTTACAAGGTGTTTGTTCAATCTTCTTCTTAAAAAGTCCCCACCTCTCCTGTAAGCACCCTCTGCCAGTGCTTTATCAGCCTTTACACTGGACAGTTTTCCCTGAACTCTAACCTGGAGCATCCCTGCTGCTGTTGAAATCTGCTGTTTCCCACCTTGCTCACGGCCGACATTCAGCAGAGCTGCTGCTCCTCAGTCTCCTGGCTTTGTGCTGTGTTCCGCCGCTTTAGTCCTCTGCTGCAGAAATGCAGACCCCAGTTCCTCCCAAGACTGGATGGCTCCGTTGGCTCCAAACTTCTCCTAAGTGTCCATCACACTTTCTCGATTGCTGGTGGATCAGCCCGTGAGATGGTCCCTGCGGAACCGAGTGCCCAGCAGCCTCCTCAGTGCTGGGAAGAGCTGAGGGGCAGTTGCTCATGCCTCGGAGGCTGTGCTCCGGCTCGGACGCCCCGGGGACCTTTGCTGTCATTTTATGAGACATGGTGTGCATCCAGCTTCTGAATGCCTGCAGCTCCCAGGCTGTTCCTGCAGGGCTGCTCCTGCGCCAGCTGTTCCCATCCCGTGTGTCCTGGTTCAGCCAGGATAAAGTAAAGCTTTCCCCAGCAGAGAGAGAGGGGGAAGGGATCTCCAGCCGGGTTATTCATACCATGCTGACATCAGGTCCAGGGGCCGAGCCTTTTCACTTTCGCTTCTGGTGTTGGTTTTTGCCATACACACGGCGAGTTTGCTCCTTGATCATTTAGCGGTATTTCTCTGTATATCTTTTGTCTTGTTCACTGTTATTGCTGTTTATTGTTGTTACCATTGATAATGTTGTTATTCAGATTGTTCTATCACTCCGTTGTATTAAATTTCTTGTTATTTTAGCCGGGGTCTGTGTTTAACTTCCAGTCCGACTGGCGCGGGTGGGGGAGGGGCAACAGCCACGTGCTCTCTCATCCCGGCAAGAATTAAACCTTGCACATTAAAAATTGCTGCCCAACGTGGGGCAGACGCTGACCAGAGTGTGCTAGAGCAATCTGTTGGGTGTAATCTTTCTGTTTGAATTTGTGTTTGATAAGAAAATGTTTGCAATGCTGGCCCATTTGCTTGCATGGTGGGGCTGGATTAACCCTTATATCCAGTGTATAATCCCAGTGGTGGTGTTTGTTTTCAGTGGAAAATGTGCAAAGGGCCTTATGTTGTTATACTGGCTATTGAATGCTTATGATGCCTTTGTATCGCGGGGGGGGGGGCGGTACCTGTTTGCCATTTGGTTTTTTGTTAGGGTTATCACCCCCTCTGTGGGTGAGCCAGGGGAAGAGATCCTCTCGGCTTTGGGAAGTTTTAACTATTCATGGAGCCCGCAGGCCAGTGTGGTTGTGGCACTATGCCTTCTGAATGTCTGCCTGGTTTCGGTTTTGGCCATATGGTATTTCTCTGACAACAGCAGTGCATGGAAACCTGCCCCGAGGCCAGATAATAGTGAGTGGCAAGGGGTGTGGGAAGAGATGGGCAAAGTCCTGAGTCGGTGGGCACCTCCAATGCTTTGGAATTTCACTCCTGAGCAAATGCAAAGCCCTGATAAGCTGATGGATTGCTTAGAAAGGGTGTGTTACCAAGCGGGCAAAACCCAGGAGACACAAATCACTGCAATGTGTTGGGGACTTGCCCATGCCCACCGTGTCCTCTTTAATACCACCCGCTGCCCTCAACGGGAAGAAAAGGCCACACAAACAATATCTGAACCGGGGGCACAGGCAGATCCAGTCTCAGTCGCCTCCATCAGCACACAGACTGAGCCAGAGAGCCAGGCAGTGCCAGTGTCACTCGCCCCAATACAGAAAACAAAATATACCAGAAAATCTGTTCGCAGAGTGAGGGATGAGGATGAGCCAGGCCCATCAGGGGAACAGGAGGAAGGACCAGAGGTGATTGTCCGATCTCTGTCCCCGACTGAGCTGCGAGATATGCGGAGAGATTTCAGCCGCCTGGGAGGTGAGCAGATTTGCACCTGGCTGCTCCGATGCTGGGACAATGGAGCCAGTGCTTTTGAGATGGAGGGGAGAGAGGCCAAGCAGCTGGGATCTTTGGCCATTGATAGGGAAATAGGGAAACAGGCTCAAACTCTCAGCCTTTGGAAGCGACTCCTGTTCAGTGTAAGGGAGAGGCACCCCTACAAGGACGATATCCTATGTCAGCTGGGCAAATGGACCAGCATTGAGAAAGGCATCCAGAACCTCAGGGAACTGGCTGTGTTTGAGATGATCTATGGTGATCTGAATGATGAGCAGTCACCCATGGACCCAGATCAGGCCCCTTACACACACCTGATGTGGCGAAAGTTCCTGAAGAGCGCACCAGAAGCACACTCGAAAGCACTGGCAATAGTGTCCTGGTGGACAGACACCCACACTCTAAGAGTGGATGGAGTGGTTGGCAAGCTCCTGCAATATGAGGGAAATCTCCCCTCATCTTAGCATTCCTGGGTCTCAGCTGTGGAGGAACTGTCTCAGAGGCTCCAGAAGATGGAAGAGGACATGTCCTACATTCCACTTGCACGAGCTAATGTCTCAGCCATTAGAAGTAAACGTTTCCCCACCCAAGAAAAAGTCAGCAGAAGGTACACAACACGAGGCACCCTGTGGTTTTTTCTCCGTGACCATGGAGAAAACATGAGGAGGTGGGATGGACAGCCCACTGCTGCCCTAGCTGCACCAGTAGAGCAGCTGAAAAGGAAGGCCATCGCAAAAGGGGAGTCCTCCAAGAGGAGCGCAGCTCCAGTGTCCAGTCAGAAATCCCCGCGGCAGAATAGAATGGTGAACGTTATGTCTGACCCTCTTGAGTGGACCAGTAAATCATTCTTTCAAGAAGTGAGTGATGATGAGCAGGATTAGAGGGGCCCTGCCTCCAGTCAGGTGGAGGAAAGGGACAATCGGATTTACTGGACAGTGTGGATCCGATGGCCTGGCACGTCAGACCCACAAGACTATAAGGCTTTGGTGGACACTGGTGCACAATGCACCCTGATGCCATCGAACTACAGTGGGGTTGAATCCATCTGCATCTCTGGAGTGACAGGGGGTTCCCAACAGCTGACCCTACTGGAAGCTGAAGTGAGCCTGACTGGAAAGGACTGGCACAAGCACCCCATTGTGACTGGCCCAGATGCCCCGTGCATCCTGGGCATAGACTATCTCAGGAGAGGGCACTTCAAAGACCCGAAAGGGTACCTGTGGGCTTTTGGTGTAGCTGCCCTGGAGGAGGTTGAACAGTTGTCCACCTTACCCGGCCTCTCAGAGGATCCCTCAGTGGTGGGACGGCTTAAGGCTGAGGAGCAGCGAGTGCCAATTGCTACCAGGACGGTGCACCGGTGGCAGTACCGCACCAACCGAGATTCCCTGGTCCCCATCCATCAGCTGATCCGTCAACTAGAAAGCCAGAAGGTGATCAGCAAAACTCACTCCCCCTTCAACAGCCCTATATGGCCAGTGAGGAAGCCTAATGGTGAATGGAGGCTAACTGTGGACTACCGTGGCCTGAATGAAGTTACGCCAGCAATGAGTGCTGCAGTGCCGGACATGCTAGAGCTCCAGTATGAGCTGGAGTCGAAGGCAGCCAAGTGGTACGCCACGATTGACATTGCTAACGCGTTTTTCTCCATTCCGATAGCACCTGAGTGCAGGCCACAGTTTGCGTTCACTTGGAGAGGCATCCAGTACACCTGGAATCGATTGCCCCGGGGGTGGAACCACAGCTCCACCATTTGCCGTGGACTGGTCCATACTGCACTGGAGAGAGGTGGGGCTCCAGAACACTTGCAGTATATTGATGACATCATTCTGTTGGGGAACACAGCCGAGGGAGTTTTTGAGAAAGGGAAGAAAATAATTGAAATCCTCCTGAAGGCTGGCTTTGCCATTAAGCAAAAGAAAGTTAATGGGCCTGCAAGGGAAATTCAATTCCTAGGAATAAAATGGCAAGATGGGCGTCGCCACATCCCAGTGGAGGTGATAAACAAGATAACAGCCATGGCCCCACCAACCTCTAAAAAGGACACTCAGTCTTTCCTGAGCGCTGTGGGGTTCTGGAGGAAGCACATCCCAAACTGCAGCCTGATTGTGAGCCCTCTCTACCACGTAACCCGTAAGAACGATTTTGAATGGGGCCCAGAGCAACAACAATCCTTTGAACAGATTAAATGAAAGATTGCCCAAGAAGTAGCCCTCGGGCCAGTCTGGGAAGGGCAGGAGGTTAAGAACATGCTCTACACTGCAGCCGGGGAGAACGGCCCTACCTGGAGCCTCTGGCAGAGAGCACCTGGGGAGACCTGAGGCCGATCTCTAGGCTTTTGGAGCCGGGGATACAAAGGCTCTGAAGTGAATTACACACCAACTGAGAAGGAGATGCTGGCAGCGTACGAAGGAGTTCAGGCTGCCTCAGAGGTGGTCGGCACTGAAACACAGCTCCTCCTGGCACCCCGACTGCCGGTGCTGCGGTGGATTTTCAAAGGAAAACCCTCCTCCACGCATCATGCAACCGATGCCATGTGGAGTAAATGGGTTGCGTTGATAACACAACAGGCTCGAATAGGGAAACCCAGCCACCCAGGGATACTAGAGGTGATCACGAACTGGCCAGAGAGCAAAGATTCCGGGATCACCAGAACAGGAGGTGACACGTGCTAAGGAGGCCCCACCATATAATGAGCTGCCGGATGAGGAGAAGCGATATGCCCTGTTCACTGATGGGTCTTGTCGCATTGTGGGAAAACATCGACAGTGGAAGGCTGCTGTATGGAGTCCCACACGACAAGTCACTGAAGCTGCTGAGGGACAGGAGGAATCGAACCAGTTTGCAGAGGTGAACACCGTCCAGCTTGCTTTGGATATTGCTGAGCGGGAAAAGTGGCCGAGGCTCTACCTCTACACCGACTCGTGGGCAGTGGCGAATACCCTGTGGAAATGGCTGCAGCAATGGAAGCAGAACAACTGGCAACGTAAGGGTAAAACTGTCTGGGCTGCTGAAGTATGGCAGAACATTGCAGCCCGTGTGGAGAACCTCGTTGTGAAGGTATGCCATGTGGATGCCCATGTACCCAAGAGTCAGGCCACTGATGAACATCGACACAACCACCAGGCAGACCAAGCTGCCCAGATTAGAGTGGCTCAGGTGGACTTGGACTGGCAGCGCAAAGGTGAACTGTTCATAGCCCAGTGGGCCCACGAGACCTCGGGCCACCAAGGTAGGGATGCAACATACAGGTGGGCTCGAGATCGAGGGGTGGACCTCTCCATTGACACCATTGCAGAGATCATCCACAGATGTGAGCCGTGTGCTACAATCAAACATGCCAAGCGGGTGAAGCCCCAGCGAAATGGAGAGCGATGGCTGAAATATAGATATGGAGTGGCCTGGCAGATCGACTACATCACACTGCCACAGACCCGCCACAGGAAGCGCCACGTGCTCACGATGGTGGAAGTAACCACTGGGCGGCTGGAAGCTTACCCAGTGCCCCACGCCACCGCCCAGAACACCATCCTGGGCCTTGAAACCCAAGTCCTGTGGCAACATGGCACCCCAGAGAGAATTGAGTCAGACAACAGGACCCACTTCTGAAACAACCTCATAAATGCCTGGGCAGAAGAACACGGCATCGAGTGGGTCTACCATATCCCCTACCACGCACCAGCCTGTGGGAAGATGGAGTACTACAATGGACTGTTAAAAACCACATTGAAAGCACTGGGAGGTGGGACCTTCAAAGACTGGGACATGCATCTAGCAAAGGCCACCTGACCAGTCAACACAAGAGGATCTGCAAGTCGAGCTGGCCCGGCTCAGTTGAAACCTCCACGTGCTGTAGATGAGGATAAAGTCCCTGTGGTGCACATGAGGAATATATTGGGATAAAAGGTCTGGTTTAGTCCTGCGCCAGGCAAAGGTAAAGGCAAACCCATCCACGGGATTACTTTTGCCCAAGGACCTGGGTGCACCTGGTGGGTGATGCAGGACAATGGGGAGGTCCGATGTGTACCACAGGGGGACTTGATTCTGGGTGAGAACGTGCCGTAAATTATGCTGTGCCTGTGTAGATTATTACTTTGTTATTGTGAACTGCTAAATGGCAGCTGGAAGTGACGTAGATGGTATAGAATAAAGGAGTGGATTATGTCCTGGTTCAGCCAGGATAGAGTAAAGCTTTCCCCAGCAGAGAGAGAGGGGGAAGGGATCTCCAGCCGGGTTATTCATACCATGCTGACATCAGGTCCAGGGGCCGAGCCTTTTCACTTTCACTTCTGGTGTGGGTTTTTGCCATACACACGGCGAGTTTGCTCCTTGATCATTTAGCGGTATTTCTCTGTATATCTTTTGTCTTGTTCATGTTATTGCTGTTTATTGTTGTTACCATTGATACTGTTGTTATTCAGATTGTTCTATCACTCTGTTGTATTAAATTTCTTGTTATTTTAGCCGGGGTCTGTGTTTAACTTCCAGTCCGACTGGCGCGGGTGGGGGAGGGGCAACAGCCACGTGCTCTCTCATCCCGGCAAGAATTAAACCTTGCACACCGTGTTACTGCTTTTTTTTGGTGTTGTAGGCAATGTGCTGTGTCCCTGGTCGCATTTCCTGCAGGCAACATCCCTTCACATCGGTGTGTGCTTTTAAGATGGGAAGTGTTGTGCATCGTGCGTGTGATAAAGATATCTGGCATCTGGTGAAGCCTTCAAACATTATTTTGAACGTTAGTGATACCATGCAGAATAGTGGTGTTTTTTTTTTTCTAGACCAAAGCTGAATTTTTACTGCTCTGTGATTTTATTGCATTTGGTTGGTGTCTTGGCTATGCCTTGGTTACAGTTCCTAACCACAGCCTTTGGATTTAGTGGCTACTAAACCCCCATCCTTCTGGTTTCTAAGGGCGGGGGACTTGTTTCCTTGGGGTAATAAACGTTTGTGTGTGTGCTGATGGTGCAGGCCCACCATAAGGCTGACTTTTTGTCAACCTCCAGTTGTTTTTGGCAAGAGAAGCCAGTCAAAGATTCCCCATAATTCCAAAGATTCTCCCTAACTGCCTTGCATACACTTTGGGGATCACAAAGAAGGTTTTCTGAAAAATCAGAATGTTTTCTGATACCCTCTCACTCAGTCTGTAGTTGATGTATTTTACTCCCTCCCTCTCAGTGTGTCTGCTTTGCTTGTCAAGCAAAATAGACACTTCAGCCTCGAGTTCTCTGTATATTTGATGAAATCATCAGTGATTTGGCAGGATTGTTTTTAACCTCCAGTTTATCGGAGAAGCTCAGTAATAGGGAAGGAACAGATTTTTCACACTGTGATCTGATCTTATTCTCAGTCCCAGCTCTGCCTCATAAAACCTCTGTTCCCTCTCTGCAGACTTAGGTCAGCAGTTCAGTACCATTTTGTCATTGTTTGGATTGCAAGTGGCAGGGCTAGTGACACCGTCGGACGGCAACGCCTCATTTTTCTTGGTGGCACATCCTTCTGCCTGCAGCTTGGTGAGGGGTGGCCGTGTTTGAGAGATTAATCTGAAATAGGTTTCTTAGCATCCTGCAAGTTTATCCCTGATTTACCAGGAGATTTGGAGACTGGGGTTAACATCGCTTCTCTGTTTTGCTCCCTCACTCCGAGTCTTTGATCTCTGTGTTAGGGATGACTGCAGCTCTAGAAGGATGAATTAATTACGCTTTGCTTGATTTTCTCATCTGTAAGGGAGAGAAGTGATGTATTTCACAGACATGTTATGAGGTAGCTTGAGAACCTCTCAAAGAAAATGTTACAGGAGAAATAGGGATTTTAACCAAGTATAAACTAAAGTTTGCCAAAGCAGAAGGTTCTTTAACATTCACTATTTTTGTTATGTGGATTAATAATTAAATATCCTTACCAGAAAGAGGAAGATGTTGTCACTTTTGACTTTTACAGCTCTTCTGGATTTTTTTCTACAGTGTTGATCATGTACTCCACTGTTTTCCCAAATATTGTCTACCTCTGATTGTGATTCAATTTTCGTACAACAAAATACACGTTGTTAGAAGTATAACACCTTGCAGTCATGCTGTGCATTTCAGTGAGGCTTTAGACATGAAAAGGGCAACAAGTGTGGCCAGAATTCATATTTGCTATATCTCACTGCAAATGTGAATGAAAAAGTGGGCTGCACTTCATGGTGATCATGACTTAGTCAGAAACTGATCTTGAGGGATAAAGCAGTGTGATGTGTACAGTTTGATTCAGTAAGAGTAATAATTTGCTCTGCTTACGTATTAAGGGGACTGAAGGTCCATGTATCTTACCAAATTCAGCAACTTAACTGTGAAAGCAACACCTCCTCCCTTGGTTTTACCAAGTCTCAGCTACTTTCTTCGAGGTGGCACAAGCACAACATGATGAAACCAGTCCCAGGCTGTTCATCGACTGTATTTCACACCGGAGTGCTTCATAGCAGCAGTTTTTAATGTCCACACTCACCCTCTCGCTGCCTCGGCCCGTTGTTTCTCTTGACACCGAGTTTGGCCACCAGGCTTTTCCTGAACAGCCGGGCTGCTGATGGGGTTTATCCAGATCTGGGTGTTTCTCCACGTGCTGAAAGCAGTGGAAGAGGTTCTTGGTGCCGTCTGTGCTCATGGAGCTTCTGCAGGGAAAATGTGTCGGACATGTTTCCACGCTCGTGATGGGTGACCCCAGAATTGTATCAGCTTTTAAATTGGGTAATGTCCGTCCTGGGTTGCTCTTCTGCTCCTTATGAAGGGATTATACAAAGCTTTTGCTCTGTCAGGAAGTTCCAGAATTTATCAGGAACATTTCTGTATTAAACAAGTGTTTTTGTCAATATGACCAACTGTAGAAAGTAGTATATAGGGCTTTTCTGCCAGCAACACTAATTACTTTTGATAAGCATGGGTCATTAAACTCATAATTTGACAAATCATCATGTTAGGTTAATAGTAACAATAGTGATTGAAATCTGACTCTTTTCATACAGTCCTTCTCATCCATAAAATTCAAAGCACTTTATAAAGGACAGTAAGGTTTTTCTGGGGAAATGACTATAGAAAGATTAAATGACTTAGAGACACATTTCATGTAAGAAACTGAGCTTGTCATAGACAGTGATTATGAGCCAGCACGGTGCACTTGCAGCCCAGAAAGCCAACCGTGTCCTGAGCTGCATCAAGAGAATTGTGGCCAGCAGGTCAAGGGAGGGGATTCTCTCCCCTGCTCAGCTCTGGCGAGACCCCCCTGCAGTGCTGTGTCCAGCTCTGGGCCCCCAGAAGGGGTCCCTCAGCTCAAGAGGGTCCAGAAGAGGCCACAAAGATGCTCGGGGGACTAGAGCACCCCCCTGTGAGGACAGGCTGAAAAAGGGGGGGGTTCAGATGGAGAAGAGAAGGCTCCGGGCAGACCTTAGAGTGGCCTCCCAGGGCTGAAAGGGGCTGCAGGAAAGGGGAGAGTGACTCTTGGTCAGGGGGTAGGGATAGGATAAGGGTAATGGTTTTAAACTGAGAGAGGGGAGATTTAGATTAGATCTGAGGAAGAAATTCTTCCCTGTGAGGGTTGTGGGACACTGGCACAGGTTGCCCAGAGCAGCTGTGGCTGCCCCCTCCCTGGAAGGGTTCAAGGCCAGGTTGGACGGGGCTTTGGGCAACCTGGGCTAGGGGAAGGTGTCCCTACCCGGGGCAGGGTGTGGGACTTGGTGATCTTTAAGGTCCCTTCCAACACAAACCATCCTGCAGTTCTCTGAAGGGGCAGTGATGGGTTTGCCAGGTCTTCTTGCAATTCTGCATCTGGATCTGTTGTGATCTCCTGGGCTGACTGGAGCTGGGTTTGGTCCCTGCTCTGGCTTTCTCCAAGGGCCGGCAGCGGGGCCTCTCGCTGGGTTGGAATGGCGGCGACACTGGAGATTCATGGGTTTGTAAATTGTCAAGTCCCGCTTCAGCGAGGGGGACAAGTGACTCAGATTCGCAAATCCCCAATTGGAGCGGACAACAAGTCTCCAAGTTCAAGCATTTATTAACTACCTACAATGC